AAAACCATAACTTGCATTGTGAATTAGTAGGGTTCAATTTAATTACACTTAAAACATTCTCTGAGGTATTCTGTAACTCATTAATAACATTTAACATTGATGAAACAAATATTCTTCCTAGGGAATTATATTATCCTCATACAGCATCAAAATGCCTTGTGGATATCACAGTAGTTCTTCTATAGGGAAACTGGGATGTAGTCAGATACTTGATCATTTTATCATGTTGAAAAGAAAACTTGAACTAAGTTATGATTTAATTCTTCCAACATGCACATCAATGGAGTATACTGGGAAGATGGAATATACAGCAGGGTAATAAAAATAGCTCTCCACAAAGAATGTATTGCAGAGAAGATTGCCCTAATATCTCTCCTTGGAAACCATTTACAAGTCAACTGTTACCATCTGCAGTTTTTGAGAAGGAGTGATGAAAAATGACAGTATATTGAGATGTAATTTTAGCACAATGAAATGAATATCACTGTCAGAGTATAATTTATCTGTTTTCTCTCAGAGAGAAAATATGTTCTTATGATGTTAAACAAATTCATTTGGATGAAGCTTTTCCTTCATTTGAAATGAATACACTTATTTGAACTTTAAATTGCTTTTGATAACTATTAAGTCATATTTTTAATTGACTGGTATAGAATATGTATTTTAAGAAATAGAGGAGCAAATCTGAATCTTTCAAAATCCACATATTAAATTCATAGACCAGATTAAATGTACTCTGGTGATGCTCCCTGTCATTCTCTTACCTGTATCAATTTTAGAAAAAGTATATATTTTATTGACATTTTCCTTAGTGTTATCCCAAAGCAGAATTCAATTTTCATCATACAGATATTTCCAAATTGTTCCATTTAATGTATCTGTTAATCTTTGATAGCAAATTTAACATGATAGGGGTCTTATATAGACCATTTGATTCATGTTCAAAGCTGAACTCTCATGAAAAGGAATGAGATATTGTTGTAAATTTGCTTTTGATCCCTCTTTTTGATCTCTCTTTTTCTTGCTCACTCAGTAGCTTCCCAATTGCACCAGTGAAGATTTTCAAAATTGTGTGTTAGGGCAACATCAGGTTGTAACTGTAACTAATTTTAGCAAAAAAAAAAAAAATACTTCCCTTAAGAGTTCATCATTTGGTCTTTCCAGTCCAGTAACAGAAATAAATGATTTGCCTAAAGGGTTGACACATCAGACTTTGTTTTAATGCAGTCCAAATGCATAGAGGCATTTGAAACAGTGTAGATTTTAACTTTTTATTTATTAATACATATCTGTGTGACTTGAAATTGCACTAATATGGTTGAGGATAATATGTGCAAGTTGATAACTTCAACCTATTCATGTAAACTACCCATAGCAGCCAAAGGATACAATAGGAAAAAATACTATAGGATGAATGACCCTGTTTTCACCTAATATTTCCCCAATGTCTATTGGGATTTTCTGGGATTAATTTGAATGTAGTTATCCTCACTAAGTTAGTAACATGGAACCTACATGTGTAGGCAAACATCAGGAATTTAGTGGGGTTGGAGGCTTTCAAAGAAAGTATCGTTAGATTTGGCTCCCACATAGTTATAATTATGACTATACTTTATGTTAATAAAATAGACTTATTCCATACCAGGCCTTTAACCAAGACATGGTTCAAAATCATATTTTAGGTTCAATTGTTAAAGTCTCTAAAGTTTTATTTCTATATAA